TCGTTAAAACGGCTCTTTAAACGCATATTTTGTTGTTCAGAACTTTAGAATAAAGCGTTCTTCGATAACGCAGTGAATGATCGTTGAATTACCCGTTTTCTGGCGTTTTTTCTGAACGCGTTTTCTAAAAAAAAACCATTTTGCTACCAAAATCTGTTATGTGAGTTACATCATAGCAGAACATGTCACTTTTCCTGGGGATGGTTTACAAAGAAACAGCATACATCAATTGACTGAAAATTTGGTGACTACGTCACATATGCTACCCCTTTTCCTGGACAACTCTTAACTCTTAAGAAAGAAACGAAAAACTGTTTTTTGCGTGGAAACTAGAGCTTTTTATTCTATTCTGTCATTTTTTTCTCCGTTCTGAATATATTCTTTTTTTCTCGGTACCACCAATAAATATGTATATATATATACATATATATCTGTATTTGTTTTCAATGAATCAATTAAATATTCAGCACATGGAATTGAAAGATTTTTTAATTTAATTTCCAAACATTGTACATTTGTATTTAATTTTAATGCTTCGCCAATTGATTTACCCTCTTCAATTGATAAGTTTTCTAAAACAATTGTTAAATTTGCATATTTTACTGTGTTCATTCTTATTCGTTCCAGAAGTACTTCAGTTCGAGTGAATTTTATCGAAAACAAAAAAAATAACCTACTCTAGTATAACTCGTTTCTATATAATATATGTAAAAAGTGACACAATGTAAGTTTTATTGTACAGATCTAAAAGTCGTTTATCATTTTTAGCCTTTGAAACAAATCCTTTGGGAAATTAAACAGTTTTAAGAATAAATGAGAGCATGTCAGTGAGTTTTTGCAAATGAGATAAGATATATTAGTATTTTCAATTTTTCGGCGTAAAATTATGCTTGTTCTATTCAAGTCATATCTCATTAGAAAGAGCAGATACAACGGCATCGACTTATGCATTTGGTGTTCAAAGTCGAAACTGAAAGTTTTAAATAACGAGAAGCAAGTGATAAATTAAAATTCTTTTTGAAAGTCACATTTTCTCAGTCGAACTGGAAGAGCCTGGGACAAAAACTGTCGTGCTTTGTAGAGCAACCGCGTATCTACAAAATGATCTAGAAATTATAAAACTTCAATGTTTTGTAACTCCGGTTTTCAAGCAGGTCTTTAGAGACCACAACCAGCTTGAGAAATCTGTTTTGTTTTCATAAATGAAATTAGACTTCAAAAACATGTCATTTACGAAAGTTTCAACAGTTCTAGTAGAAAACTAACAATTTTAGAAGCCATTATATTGTGAGCCTATCAAAGGGCTAATCCATGGAAAAACGTAAAATTTAATAACTCGGGAGTGGAATGAGTTGTAAAGGTGAAACTTTGTATGAATGTCAAAGATATATAGATAAATCATAGAAGGAAATTTGAGCTCTTAACTACTTTTCTGGACGGAGATATGAATTTTAGTATTTTTGCTATTTTTTGGTGGGAAAAACAGAAAAATGCCTATAACTTTTGAAGGAAAAGCCATCGATCCGAATCCTTTTTACAACCTCAAGAACCTTCGTATCCTCTATCGATGGACGTACGAATGAATGAAAGCGGAGAGGTACATATCCATAGGTTTCCTCGTGAAGAAATTTCACTTTTCACTTACTCCTCGTTATTTAAAAAATTCCATTTCAACTTCGAAAACTCAGAAACTACGTCATTTTGTTTAGTTTTAGCTCGTCTTTCAAATGAGATATTGCTTGAAACTATCAGAAAAATTTGATGTTAAAAGGTCAGTACTATAACGCGCTTCGTGGATCATCGATTCATTTAAAAGTTATATCTAGGTCAGTGAGGTTGGAAACTCTAAAAAAGGTTTCATAACTTACACAATGTGACATGTAGAATCGAATGTAAACATAAAAAATATAAATATTAATTTTTTTCTATGTTACAACTAGATGTATTAGCCGATAAAAAGTATGCAAGGGAAAGGGTAAAAATTTTTCAAACTTTTTTCCTAGAAAATAGTGTCCAGATTTTTTTGGAACTAAAAATTTCAACAACTAAAGGCGGCGGTGGATACGACGGATCTTCTAACGTCTGTAGTTACGGTCCTATAATAACAGCATGGTTAGTTCCCTCGCAAATCGTGCTCTTAGATAACATTCTCTCTTACTAATTTCCTGTGTTTCATAAATTTCCAATGTATTTTCAATTATATGTCTAACACGAATATAAAGTCGATTATTATTTTCACCATCAACAGGATCTTTAATATGTTGTACTTGCATTATTTTTATAAAATCGAAAATAATTAATATTTAATTAATTTAATTAATTTTAATTAATTTTTAATTTGTTATTAATACTGGTGTTTTTATGGGTAATGATAATGATGGTGACAAATAAAATAAAATACTTTTGTTTGAATACTTGTGTACACGTAACCAACCAAAATTTAAAAATGACAGAATAGAATAAAAAGCTCTAGTTTCCACGCAAAAAACAGTTTTTCTATCGTTGGAGGTGT